AAGGGGCTGAGCCATCTTTCTGTCAGAACTGTGGCCACTGCATATCCTCTTCTCAAAAATGTTTCAAAACAGATTCAGGATGGTTAAAATAACCAAGACTGAAGCCTGAGACGACACACCAGGCCATGCCTTGCGCTAATTGCAGCTTCGATGCTCAAGCGCAGTGTGCGCTTCCTGCAAACCAGCTTCTGCCGCTGGTGTGCTGGCCAGGTGCCCATGAGGCCCGACTTGCAGGCCTGCCCTCCAACACCTTCCGTGCAGCGCCCAAGAGTCCTCTGCAAAGGTGGCAAGCCTTCAAAAGCGGCGCTGCACGGATGATTTTGTTTTCTGCGATGCATGAAAGAAAAGAGGAACGGCCGGCCGGACCTCTGCTCGCTTCTAAGCGAATGGCCGTTGCCTCCACGAAAACAGGCAAAGGCAAATGGCTTATTAAGTGACCTGGCAACGGAGGAGCTCCAGAGAGCGACAAATCCATAGTGCTGGAGAGCCTGCAGGTCAAGCTCCTTGTAACCGGAGCGGCATAAAAACAAAGGCCCGCTTCAGCCGGGTTTCCTAAGCAGCACAGCCTCACCCGCCCGGAGGGCCCACCCCAGGAGGACCAGGAAATGCCTCCCGAGTAGCTTTCCACACAGAAAACATTTCGAACTCCGCCAGAAAAAACACACTCCACTGATTCGCTCATTTTGCTTGACCGTTCCCTAAATGCCAGAAGGTTGAAGCACCAATTTAAAGGGCCTGGTTGGGTGATGAGGACTGGATGCTTAGCTGATTGAAGATGCGTCCTGCCAAGACAGAGGTATGGGGCTGACAGCCCTGGGAATTTATGAGGAATTTGCCTTTCCATCACCAACCGTCTCACACCCCTGTGGCTGAGCTGGCCCACAGATCGGGGTCCCCGAGCGCAACACCACGCAGGCAGCAACAGAGGCCGAGGAAGGGGGCCCCCTGGCCTGGACACTCCCTGCTGAGCGCCACTTTCAAGGGAGGCCGGCGGGAGCTGGGCTCCAGGAGGAGGCAGGCCCAGGGCAGGTCCCACTGGCTGCAGGCCAGGAGAGCTGACACGGGCCTCCCTTTGGCTCAGGTGGAGGGAAAGAGGCAGCCATCAAGCCACTGCGCGGCAGAGGGCAACCTGCACACACCCTGGGTGTTCACACCCACCAGGTGCCAGCCCAGAGGGCGCGCAGGTGCGACTCGGCCAATGCGTCAGTGGGCTGGGCGTGCGGGCAACTCCTCTGCCCTCTCTGCAGCCTGGCACTAGCCCTCCAGACCGCAGGCAGGCCTTGAGCAAAGGTATCAGCCGGCAGCATAGTAGAGAGCTGGCGAGGCCGGGCCGGGCCGGGCCGGGCCAAGCACACATGTTCATCTGAAACATTTGTCTAGGCCCTGGACCAAATCTCTGCTCTGACTACTTCCCCGTGCGTCTACACACGAGACATCACCCCAGCCCGCCACCAGCACCACCTGCAAACTGGAGGACTTGCCACCAATCACCCCAATATTTATCAATTTATACTCCTCATCCAAAAAGAGAGGCATGCATGTGATTAATGAATGCAAGAAAGCTCCTGGCCTCGGGCTTACATTCTCGACAATGAAATGCAGAAGGAGAAATGGGTATGAAAGGAGGAGAAAGCACGGGAATTCAGGTATGAAATCCTGACCCCGCCTGGGGAAGCTTCTGGGAGTGGAACCCGGGGCCTTCGGCACGCACGGAGCTGGGCCTGACCCCTCAGAACGACACACAACCGGCAGCTCTGTCCCATGCAGGTATCGCTTCTAAAATGAACTCCAGCCTTCTCCCCTCCAGCTCAGCAGGTGGACCAAGAGAGTCACCCGCCCTCAACCTCTTCCGACAGACCCTTCTGGTGCAAAAACCGCAGAAAAGCACCGCAACCCAGTCACGGGGAAGCGCTCGGGTGATGCTCTACTCACCCACAAATACTGTACAGACTTCAACAGGTTTGGGCAGTAGTAATACTCCATTCTCACCAGAAGCCGGGGAAGCGGTGCGTACGAGCGCTTCCTCTGCCTAGATGCAGCCTTTGGTGGAAAGTTGTAAGCGTATCAGCAAAGTGAAGGCAACATAAATAATGCAGGAACGGCTCACCGTCTGTTGCTTTAAGTGGTGGGGCTGCCTACGTGGGAGCAGCATCCCAGACACGGAGGTCATATGACTCCCGCGTCTGCTCGGAGACCAAAGGGTTACCCATTTCCACCAACCAACAGTGCCAGGCGGCTGCGGCCAGGAGTCCCTGCAGCTTCTGTTCGCCGTTTATACTTGTGACCGAAATGTTTTAAAAGGCATGCTGCTAAGCGGATATGGGTTGCAAAACCGGCCACAGGAGCGGCGCCTGCCTGGTGTCGGAGTGACCTCATTTCCCCTTTCACGGCCTGCCGCGAGGGGGGAGCGGGCGTAGAGCAGGGCGCGCTCGCGAAATTCAGCAAAGGGGAGAAGCGTTCCTCCGCACCGGGTGGTTCTGTGCTCCGACTGCTGGCAAGAGCCGGCTGCAGATTCTCCACGGGATTCCCCAGCTGCTCTGCCTGGGATCCTCAACGGCAGCGCACTAAAGAGCCGCGGTACGGACCCTGTGGAGACCGACGCAACGGGTGGCACGTCAGAGCCCCCAGCGCCTCCACGCTAGCGCCGAACGACGCACGTGCAAGATGGTGCCCGGCCCTGCCCAGGGGAGTCCCTGCCGGAGCTTTCTGGGGCGAGAAGATCGATCGTCACAGACAAGCCATCTGCAGGACGACATCCCTGATATTTGCCCCCGGCGTGCTGCCCTGCGGGAACGCTGGGTGCATTTCAAGGCATCCTCTCAGGGCCACACAACGGCCTGCAAGCATCCCATTCGGGGGGGGGGGGCGAGGAGGCGGGTTTGGATCGCCTTTGGCAGCGCAAACACCTCCTGGGCGCAAAGGCGAACTCAAACTCCCACTGAGCTAAAATCTCCCAAATTACTGAACAAACAAACAAAAATAAATGCTCGCAACCAAACATGCACATAACATGCCTTCGTCGGTGAGGGGAAATGCATACATTTCAAAAGGCGTATACTTTGTGTGCAAGTTTGGGGAGATGTACACAAAAGTACACATGACTGTTTCTGTGGAAAGAAAAAAATGGACACAAACCCTGAGGTGGGACTGGAAGGACCCCAACACGCCTGAGCATGGCTCCGTCGCTCATCTGCACACGTGGCGCCTGCACCCTGGGAAAGACCGCCACTTTTTCTGCCACGCGCGTGGCATTTCATGGCGTGGATCCAATGTGAAGAGGAACTTCCTCAAAGCGAGGAGCGCCCTTGGCGTTCTCCACTGAGAGGAGCAGGGAGAGATGCTCTTTTCCACCTGAAGCAATCCTTTCGATTGCCACACGGTGGGGGTAAACGCCCAGGCAGCCTCGGGTCCAAGGCACAGGCTGGATTTTGCCACCTGCAGGCAAAAGTCAAAAACGTCGCTGCGGGGGCGGTTTCTCGCAGATGCTGGCCAGGCACCGCCGGGTCCGCGAGGACCTTTGGTCACGGCTGGCACAGGGCAGCGCCACACAATGCCGGCCGCTGCCGCCGCGACCCGCCTGCACAGGAACAGCCGGAGCTGCATGCAGTGGACCCCGCACCCAGCAACGCAAGAAGCAACACCAACAACTCCACAGCGGCGAACAACCAGCACTCTGGAGCAGAGCCAGTCAACTCCGAGAAGCACAACCACGGGGCCAGGGAATCTCGTTCTGCGAACAGCGGCCTGGACGGCAAGGGCTGAGCAAAGCGTAAAGCCCCCCTTCACCCTGGCAGGAGCTGAAGCAGGGGAACATCCTCCTCAGCTGCAGCTTTTGGCAGTGCCTGGGACAGCCCTTTAGGAAAATCTAGGGTGGGGCGGTCAGCTGCAGGCAGGGAGCGGAAGAGCTGGCCTTCTGGCCATTGCTGCAACCGCTTGCCTTCTGATCCCGCTCTAGAGAGCAACAGGAGGTGCCGCGACACACCAAGCCGTTTTTGGGGGTAAACCGGCCAAGCAGGAGCCGCCTGTGTGTGCTTGACTCCAGCTGACACCTCACGTGGCTCTTCAGCTACACTGTGATTGTGTAATCCAACACCCGGCTGCGAACTGCTCAGAATGCTTCGGGACAGGCACAGAACAAGCCAACACCGCCAGCCGGATGTTCTACACGAGGAGCTAGTGGGACACTTCTGGCTGTCCCTGTTTTTCAGGAACTCAGGCATGTCCGTCCACCTTTTCAACCAGAAACGTGTCTTCCATGCTTATCAAAAATACAGATAGGAAAAGGTATCCTTTCAGAGAGGCGAAGCTCCGTGTTAGCCAGTAACACACCTGGGGCAGAGAACTCTCTCCCTGTACCATTAGACAAAGTTCGGAGAAAATGCATCCCACGGGCGGCTTAAGACGAATCCCCGCTTCGTCGGCCGAGCAAAGAACACTGCGCTTGTGCCCGCTTGCCCGTCCCTCCCACCAGCGCCGTGCCGCGTTCTTGCCCTGCCCGTCGCACCGAGCGAGTGACGACACGCTGCGCCACGAGAGCAGCCACCCTCCCGCGCGGTCCTGGGCACGCGGCTGCTGCTGCACACGGAGGCATCGCTGACCCGCCTGCAAACAGATACAGGGAGGCGTCGAGCGAGCAGAACAGTCTGAGGGGGCACCAAGCAAGACCCTCCGCCAGGAAAGCCCAGCTGTCCGCAGGGAACAGCCCGCCTGCCCCAAGGCATCGTCCTCCACGGGGAGGGAGGAGCCCCCGCACCACGCGGGGACCTTGGGCTGCACAAGGCAGTCAGCTCAGGGACACACCGAAACCAGGAAGGTGTCAACTTGTGGGGCAAACTCCACAGCAAAGAGCTCGACTGGGACTAAATTACTTCCGCATTGCTCTTGTACCGCGTACACGGGCTGCCCATTTGTAAACTGCGAGATTCTTACAACTTCCATCCCGCTGCATTGATACGGGTTGTTGCACAGACTGAAGGAGCATCCATATAGGTGAAAACTACCGTGCTCCAGTGATCCTTTCTTTTATCTCTGCAAAAACTGCGACTCCTCCGCTGCACAGGCACCTGAAGAGAATTTCTGGCTCCCAAGCCGTCCCGCTCCTCCTTGGCCCATTCTTGTCCAGGGTCCTCCTAGAGAAGGTAGTTAAGGCAAGAAAAAATATTCACAGAAAGGAGCAGCTTGCCTGTGAGGCCACAAGCCCTGGCGGAATCTACGCCTCCTTTGTGGAGAGGCAGTAAAAGCTGTGAGCCTGGCAGCCACTCCCGTACAGCACGTGCCACCCACCAAAAGCGGCACCCGCAAGAGCCCCGTGACGAGACCTCCGATGATGCCGTGACAGCGAAGGCCACCCGTACGCCCAGCGCCCCCTTCCATTTCATTCCACGGAAGATACAAGGCCCCCCGGCGCCTGGCTCTGCGCTTACCTTTTTCCCTTCCTGGGGGAGGCAGTGATGTCGCGCTGTGCTCCGCTCGCTCAGCCAGCGCTCTGCACTCTCCGGTGGGACGTCTGGACAGTCCCTGCTCTGGCCCCGCCTCTCTTTTGCTTCCAGCCCAGAAGGGAGCGTGTCCCTTGCTCTGGCCTGGTGGATCTTCTCCGAGTAGAGAGTCCTCAACTCCGGCAGGGCATTTGCCGAGCCTGGCACAGCAGCGGGCCATTCGGTCCCGCTCTCGGCCGTGCAGGACCCCGGGTCAAGAGCGCCCCTGTGTGCACTGGCTCTCCTCGTCTGCACCTCACTCAGATTAGGGGCGCTGCACCAGCCGTCCCAAGTCCACGCGGCGTCCCGCTGCCTGGGGCTCGCTCCCTTCCACGGGGCTCCGTCCACATGCGCCTGGGAGGGGGGGACAGGGGGAGCTGCACCGGCCTCGGGTTCCACAGCCACACAGCCGGGGCTGGACACGTGTGCGTTGCTGCGAGCGCGCTTTTCGGTCTGGTGCTTCAGCACCAAGCTCTCTCCTTCCCCTTCGTCGATAATGAACGTTTTCTTCCTGCTGCCGGCTGGCTCTGCAGGCACACGCTGTGGCCTCCCCCAGGGAGGCGGGCTGAAGGCACTCTCGCTGCTCCTCAAGGGGGCCCGCCCCAGGCCGCAGCTCTCCGGCTTCTCTGCTGCACGGACCTCGTGCCTGCCGCTTCCTGGGGAAGGATCCGACTTTTTCGAGTCTCTCTGGTTGACCTCACAAGGCAGTTTCTCCGTGGAAGTCCTGCTGCACGCCAGTCTCTCCCGAGAAGCCAAGCAGCCGTCTTCGGAAACACGGCCCTCTCTCCTGCCCTGAAGCAGAGAAGCCTTCTTCGCATCCCCTTTGTACTCTGCCATGAGCGCATCAACATCCACAACGCTTGACCTGTACCCGTCGGCAGCCTTGTCTCTGGGCACCCCAGGGCCACCGCCACCGTGCTCCGTTTCCCCCACACGCTCACTCTCCTGGTGAAGGTGCCTGAAGCGAGCCGGCTTGGCCTCTGAGCGCAGGGGGGGCTCGCCATGCGCGACGCGCGCGTCCTCCACTAGCGCAGAAATGTGCCTGCTTCTGGTAGGCTCGAGAACATTTCCGGGTGCGTTTTCACGTTCATCGGGAATCTGACAGGTAACGGCAAAATAGGTTGCCCTCGGCGCCGAAGGGCAGAGCTCGTTCTGCAGGGGGCGATTCGGACTGCTGGCCACTCCCCAGAAGCTGCCTGCCCGTGGCTCTGCTCCATCTCTGAGTCTCAGGCCCCCCTTAGCAGCAAAATCATTACGCAGCTGCAAGGAGTCCCTCCTGCTCAGCGATTTCGCACTCTCCCACGCTGGCTCCGTCGCCTCCTCAAACCTGATGGCGTCGTGAGGCAAGGTTTTTCTCCGCCACCTCTCGGAAGCTTTTGTCCCAGACAGAGCGCGGCCGCTCCTCCTGCCCCATCCTTCGGCATCCGGCCGCTGCAGCTGGTCTCCTTCAGCTCTGCGGTCCGAAGCGGTCAGCTCTTCGTGTGCAACGTAAGTGGCTGGGAACGTCTTCAGCCCAAACGCCTTCGCTCCTTCTTGCTCGTAAGTTCTCGCGGGGTCCGCACCTGGAGGGCTTGTTCTGTTACTGAATTTGTGCCACTGGCTTGCGCCACATGGTGAAGGGCGGCTCTCGGGCTCACTGGCCACGGACGCAGCCGCATCCTGGCCAGTGCTCACTCCGGCTTCGCAGCCATCTGTCCTGCCTGGGGCCACCCCTAGATTCTCCGGGAAGTGTTTCAGGATTCTGGAACTGTCTAACTTACCAGCGAGGACAGCTTCCCTTTTCTCTCGCTCTGCTTCCGAAGGCTGCTTAGAGCCTTTGTCATCCACTGTCTCAGAGTTCTTGTTTCTACTTTGCAAGTACGGCGCTTTCACAGGTGCCTGCTGCTGTCCCGTCTGAGGTTGGTCCAGCTTGGGCACCTGCCTGAGGAAAGCGTGCGGACTTGAGGAGCCATAAAGTTCTTCCAAGAAGGCCGTCTTGCCGGCCGTTTCACCCGCGGCTTTTGGCTCAGGAACGAAGCCATCCTTTGCCCGGTTGCCGCTTTTACTATCAAGGCTACGTGCCCAAGCGGCGTCTGTGGCACTCCCTTCGGTTCTCCTCCTCAAAGATCTCCGGCTGCGCAGAGGCATGGCCTCATTTTCTGGGACGGCTGTAACAGCCTCGCTTTGCACCCTGTCACCAACTGTCTGGAGAATTTCATATCTCGGTTCTATTCTTTGGTACATTAAGGAGTCCTCGATCTGCTTTGAAGTGTGCTTTTCGTACTTCCCCTTCGCAGTGAATTTCTCACATGTTGCTGCTGCCTTGAGGGCTTTCTCTTCATTTGAAGAGTCTCTCTTCCAGGGTTTGTCAGCATCCGGTGACAGATCGCCCTGCCTGAACGGCACTTTCTTGGAGGTCGCTTGAGCGTCTGACTCTCCCTCCGGCCACAGCTCCTTGCGGTGCCCCAGCGGCCTCCCAACGGTCTCCTTCCACGGCTGCGAGGTCAGCTCCGTTCCCGAGAGGCTGACGCTGACGCTGTGCCTCTGGACGCTGTGCTCAAAAAGGGTCGCTCGGACCGTTTTAATGCCTGCTGCTTTTTCTGCCGTGGGAGGCGTGGAATACACTTTCGCGTCGTGGCTTGCGACTGAAGCGGGGCTTTCTCCCTGTGGAGCGACAGGTTCCCTCCCTTTGAGAAGGCTGCCTTCTTTCTCGAGCGGCCCTCCTGCACGGGCGGCTCTGCTGAGCTGTTGCGGCTTCTGTGGACTTCCGGCTGCCCGGGTTTCACTTGAATCCGCTCCACGCAGCAGCTGTGGCTCATTCTGCAACAAACCGAAATGTCCCGGGATTAAAAGGGCATTTTTTAATGTTCGAAGTGACACACTGCGCGGGCGCCACGGAGGATTCGGTGACTTGAGTGCTGGGATCACGAGGGAAGAGTCCCTGCCCAGCCCCTGCCTGCGGCAGGCATGGAAAAGACCACCCTGGGCGCCCCTCCAAGGCCAGAAAGCAGCCTTGGGGAGGAGAAAAAGGGGTATGTCGGGGCAGAGAGGGGAGGCGGCCAACAGCTCATGCCGCATCCACACGGCGTCCCTGCCTCCTTCACGCCTCCTCTGCACCACTCCACCCAGACGGCTGAGGGAGCGCACGGTGCCGAGCGGCGGGAATGGCTGCCACCGTGCCTCGCGTCCTGCGCCGAGCGCGGAGGGCACTGGACTGGCCCGGGATTATTAGGAGACGGCCTTGACATGCACAGAGCCTGTTTCTGGCACAGCCATACGGGGAACATCTCTACGGGCTTCTGCCTGGGAGAAGACTCCGTAACTGCGATGCTTTCTCACCTCTTGAACTTCTTGCATGTCACTAAGCAGCATCCTGTTCAATTCCGGTTTTTTCTCAGATTTCATTTCGGCAGCAGTCACAGGACTGGAAAACCTGTTTGCAAAGAAACCGCTCCGTTAAAGAAAAATGATGCAAATGACCCAGTTCCTGCCGTTTGCTCCAGGAAGACGTAGCTTGCCCATACTTTTCATGTGCTACCAAAAGCTTAAAATCCAGTTGCCATCCCACTAAACCAGGCCTGGCTAAGCCATCTTCACATCTCTGGCTCAGTAAAAACATTGGTAAAGTTTCCTAAAGAGCAAACGCGACCCAGGCTTTGGTCAGGGCATCGTACTGGGACTTGGGAGATCTGGGTTCCAGTCCCTACTTGACCATGAAGCTCCCCAGGTGAGTTTGGGCCAGGCACCCTCTTTCTGGCCCAAAAGATGTACCTCACAGGGTTGTTGTGAGGGTAAAATGGAGAGGAGAGTCGTGCACACTGCCCTGTCCAGGGATCCTTGCAGAAAATGGTGGTATATAAATGGAACTAATAACAAATAAATACATTTCAGGTACTAGTTAGTTTAGAACTGAAACTGATATTTGGTCTTTTCTTGCTTTAGGGATTCTGCATTATAAACAGAATGGATAAGTTAGAAGCCAAGAGCTTGCTTGCCCCTTTAAGGCTGCGCTGTGAAATCCTCGGCGAATCCTGCCTTGCACCACAGCACCTCCTGCTGAAGCCAGCGTGCCATGTGGAATAAGCATGCGCTGTGCTCGCAGCCCCAGCAGCACCACAGCACCAGCGAATGCCGCCCACTTGTAAAGCAGGATGCGGCTTTTGGATGCCCAACCTCTGGCTTTGCACTGAGAACTAAAATTTCAAGCGAAAGATTGGGGAAAACTGAGAACAATCTTAAAAGAAAAATGTGAATTTATGGAACCAAATAAATAAATGCTAAGAGCACAAAGTGCCGAGTTTAGGGTTAGGGCTAGGGATAACTTACAGCTTTGTCAAGTCTGCAGAAAGAGGGCGTGACGCATATGACCGGCGATTTGCCGGTTTGCCATCTGTATTTTCTGTGGTCAGTTCTTTGATTCTCTGCTGGATGTTCATACTCTTCTTTTCCTTTCCAGGGCTTTCTGGGCGAGAGTCGGCATTCCCTGAAGCCACACCATTTGTTAATGTACCCAGGAAATTAAGAGGCTTTTTAACACTGCCTCCTCTTGAGAACTTGTTTTCCGGGTCTGAGGTGCTCGCTGCATCTTTACTAACCGTGCAAGTATCCCTTTGACTTAACGCTGCCTTCTCTTTCACACACCAACCTTTACTGTCGGGCAGTCCCTTGCTTTTTTCTGAAACGCCTGCAGAATCAGCTTCTGCGTCGTTGTCTTCATCTTGACCTTTAAGCCTCTGCTCCCACAAGAACTTTCGGTCCTTTGCAGAGACTTGACCCGTGTCTTTTGGAGTGTTCCAGCCCAAAGGTGCAGCCTCGTTTGGGGAGGGCGTCTGGATGTGGGTAGCGGCGTCGCTTTTCGCAGACTGGGAGTTGGCGACGGGAACGGTGCTTTTCAAGTATGATCTTGGGGCATCGGCTGTGCTTGACTCTGCCGCTTCGCTCTTTGCCCCCATTTCGGAGGGTCTGCTGCCGAGGGTGTCCGCAAGGTGGGCAGTGAGGGGTCTCTCCTTGCTCTCAGGTGGGCATGATTTCCTTTGCGCAGAAAGGTCTCGGTTTTCAAATTTTGCTGTGAGATCCACAGAAAGCGGCCTAGGTTTGCGAACCCACGATTTCTCGGGAAGTGATTTTTCATCAGGAATGTCGGGAGTGCTTTGCTTTGGATCTTTTACTGATTCCAGAAAGATGGCAGACACTGGTCTCTGTTTTGGTCTCGGCTGCACTTCACCGACCAGGTTAATGCTGCTGTTCCTCAGATCCTTCTCAACATTTTTAGCCCTTTCCTCAGTAGCGCCGGAAAAGGTGTCTTTCATTTCGAGGGATCGGTGCAGGTTCCAGGAGAGAGACCTGGGCTCTGAGGAGAGAGACAACTGCCTCTGAATGCCGGCACTCTCGGGCCTTCTGAAGGGCGGTTCTGAAACAGCGGAGGGAACCGGCCCCTCTTGGGCCTGTAAAGTGCTAAATGTCCTCTCGGCAGCCAGCTTCATGCCGGCTTTCTCGGTGTTCCCAGTATTAAAGAGGATGACTGTATTTGCAAGGGGACTGGAATAGAAGGGCATATTTGCAACGAAATCCTTGGTGCTTCTGTTCTCGATTGATTTCTGGTCAACCAGTGGTGGAATATTTCCCGTTAACCCCTTAGGGGTGGTTGCATCCCCAAAGGTTTTGGCAAATGTGGGGGACTTGGGGGCCACGCTGCTGGGCTTGAGTGCTGTGACGGGAGGCTTCACTCCCGCAAAAGTGTCTGAAGATGTCTCCCTGGAAAACGGCTTGGGAGTTAAACGTGGCCCGGTTGCCGCTGGAGGCACGGTGGCCGGCCTCACGGGGCTCCCAAATTTGCTGCTCTTCTCCAGAACCGGCGGGGACAGAGCGCTCGGGTGCTCGGCGGACTTGAGGCTCGTATCAGAAAGGGAGCCGACCAAGGTGTGGTGCAGCACGGAGGTCCCCTTCTGAAGTCCGGCGATGCTGGTCAAGGACGCGAGGGCAGCGGCGGCTCCCACTTGTGCTGCCATCGCTCCCATTAAGCATCCAGTGGGATGAGGAAGAGCCCAGAGGGGATGGACGTGCTATCAGAACAACGAAACGAGGTGTTAATGCACGAACAGAACAGACAGCGGGACGGCAAGGGGCTCACTGGCACCCCCAGCACTGCACCAGCTGCCTCTACCATCTCGGATCGCTTTCCTACTTGAGCTTTTAAGAGACCGTGTTGTGTTTCACAGATGGCCTGCCAGAGGCCTCCAGCCTTGAGCTCCTCCGCAGGTCCCACCTCCTCCCCCCCAGGGCTTCAGTCGGAACCAGGAAGAGGAGAGCGATCCCATCCGAGATGACACGACACGTTCTCCTGATGGCTTAGGCGTGGTAACTGATCAATGTACCAAATCTTACCACATCCACAAGCCCTGCTCTAGAGAGGCAAACCACCTGCTACCTGGGACTCAGGTGTTCTTTCATAGCGGTGCCACTGGAAAAAGAAGCAAACTGCGTCCCCCTCTCCATGGCGCCTCACAGACAGCAGCTCCAAGGAGCAGCATTTCTGTGGCTCTTTGGAAGCTGCTCCCGTGAATTAAAAAGCAAGCAAGCAAGCCAGCCAGCAAACCAGAAGAAAGCGTGTTCAAAGGGCAAGGAAGATGCCTGAGAACATGCAGGTACGCCCTGCACGGCTTGGCATGACTCATGCGATCAGGGAAGCGGCCCGCCCAGCGAGCGGCCTTGCTCACAGCCTTTCTCCTCAGGAAGCAGAGGGCGTGCACAATCCGCAGGGATTCTTTTAGCTCAGCGAAAGCAGTGATTGGCACAGGAGCGCCTGGTGAGGGGAAGGCAGTGGGTCCCAACGGGCCCCCAAGCACCAGCTTTGCGGCTGGCTTAATCCGGCACCCTTCAACACCAAACCAGGTCAGCACGGGCAGCTCTCGCCCAAGCCCAAGTGCCTGGCTGGTTCTTTCCAAAAAGGAAAGCGGATGTCGCCGTGACAGTTACATCGGTGAAGCTAATCTCAGTCGCGGGATCTTTGCTCGTTTGCCCTTTGCTACATAATCTACCAGGGAGTGATCCTATGGTGGGGGCTGGATAGCGCCCAAGGTTCGCTCTGAGTTAACTGTGGCTGTTTGCTGGGCTCTCAACTGCCCATTACATTTCCAGTTCAGGACTAACTTGATCTCAGCTACCAGGACTTCCTTCTGTTGCAAATCTCCTCAACCTGATACCTAAATGGGCTTCCTCCAGACGGTGTTTCACCACTAATTCAGTGCCTGTGGTGAACGGGGCCCCTACTCTAGAAGGGCCCACATTTCTCAGAGGCTGACCCTATTCAATCCCTGTCAGTAGATAGGGGAGCACTGCAAAGCACCTGCAGAAGTCCATGCAGGACCAGATTCCATGGCAAAGGTGCAAAACTAGTGCTTCCGATTTCCTGATTCTGCAGCAATGCACACATCCAAGACCTATTAAATCTGTAAAACCCAAGAATAAAATAGAACCATTTAGAATAAAAGGCACGTATATTTAATCTAACGGCAGAGTGGAATAGCAAAGGCTGGGCAGAACTGGCATATTTTCAATGAAGCCAGTTCTCCTGATAACTTGCGTGACGACGAGTTCTGAAGCTCCTGAGAGCTTGCCATTTTGAAATGGCCTAAAAGGAAATCACACCATTTGGATTTTGGCATTTCTCTCATGGCCAACATCTGTTTTTCTATGTTCAGAGAGAACACTCATGAGCAGAGCCATGGACTGAGGCAATATCAAGCCGACCTTCTCTCTGCCACTGACAGAACATGACCCTCCGCGACAGCTTTCTATAATCCACACAGAAGGGCCTGCCTTCACAGGAGGACGACGACTTGATTCCACTTCCAAAAAACAACTGCTGGACAGTGATTCAAAGAAAGGAAAAACTGGGGTCAAAAGTGCATTAGTTATTGGGTGGATTAGATCAAATGCATACATAAAAGAGAGGAGAGGGAAAACCCGACTGAAAGCTTCTGAAAACACACTGCTGCAAACTTATCCAAACGCCTTGCTCACAAGGTAGACACAGAGAGCTGAATGGAGGTGCCCGTTGCTATGGAGGCCTCCCCTTCCTGGTGGGGATGGGAGCACCAGCGAAGCGCTGCCAGTTTTCCGAGTTGCTCTGCACAGGCGCCGACAGGACCGGCGTGGCTGCAGGCAGGCCGCCAAGGGGAAGAGCTGCTCGCGCCTCGATCCTGCGGCCACATTCCTCGCTGGGAGCATCTCCCACGCGAGGCCATGCAGAGTGAAGCCAGGGCCTGCGGAGGGCGCGTGATCCCTATGAATCGTGCCCTTTGTCCCTGGGGAAGCAGGGCCGGGCCGGGCCATGCAGGAGGGCCCTGCCAAGGGTCCGCCACGGAGGTTCCCAGGCAACAGCTGCAAACATCGCCCTGGCTATCCTTGGCCTTATGAACTTGCCTGCTAGGTTCGTGGGCTTCTAAAAGGGGGGCTGCAATTTGCTGTGCACGTCTGTCCAGAAAGCAGCCCCCTCCTGTGGCACAAATGCCCCACGGCAGAGACTTACACAAGACCACGCGCCCCTTGGGAACATCAGCAGCACCTGAGACGCAGACGAGGGAGCATGAGCCACCCGTGTCCCCGCGCATGCCAGGAGAGCGCGCGTGAGCCAGAGATGCAAAAGGCTGTCCTGGGGTGCATGAAGGCCCTGCAGTGCCGGCCCACTTGGTATGCACCGCGCGCCACAGATTGCATTGTCTGCCTAGCGAATGACGTTTTCTAAAAAAAAAACAAAACCCAGAGCTGCCATTGTAACAAAGGACGTGCTCACATCGCTCCCTCTCGCTCTCTCAGAGCATAAGCCAAGGCCATAAACATCACCAGAAGCGCAGTGGTGTCCGTGGGGCCTTTCCATGGGTGAACTACGTGATTCCAGAGGGTTTTCTTCTGCGAGCCTGAGAGGAGCCGCTGCGCTGAGGGAGGCGCAAGAGCCACAGGGCCGGCGACAGGCGGAAGCGGGCCGGGCTTGGCGAGGGGCTGCGCCCGTCCCGGAGAGCCCGACTGGGAGCGCAGGAGGGCTGCGTGTGGCCCCGGGGCCCGAGGTTCCAGGAGCCCAACCCAGGAGCCAGGCGCGGCCGCCAAAGCGCCTGGAACGCTGACGCAGGGCGCTGGGCAGGGCCAGGGAGGCGCTGGCTGGCGCAGCAGGCGTGTCGAGACGAGCCGAGCCGCTCCACCTGTGCCCCGCTGCCAGCTGAGAGCCAGGTGCCCCGAGGGCCACCGCCGGAGATTACAGCGGAAAGCCCTTGCGCAATTCCAGCACAGGCCTGCCCTGTGACGTGGCGGGGAGATGCTTCGCCGTGGAAAAGAGGGAGCCGCGCCTCCGATGTTAACAGGCATAGATTTTAACTAAGAAATTAAAAGCAGCTAGCCAGACTGACTTGTAGCTGCGAGCGCCTCCTTCCACGGGAAAGGGGCAGTTCACACCCACACGGCAGCCGGCGCACGCACAAGCGGGGCTGCCTTAAAGGACTTCCCGGGTTAAAAATTACAAAGCCGTGAACGGCCAAGTCGAGGTCACTCTTCCTGTAAAAGGAAGCACTGCCACCCAAATGCCTTTCAGCCAGGCTGCCAGAGAGGAGCCTGCGCTGCGTCTGAAATCAAAGAAACAGATTATTAGCTAGGGAGAAGGAGGTGGCCGAGCACTGCTCCCAGGCCACCCAGAACACACAACATCTGCTCTAGGGCTCTCAGGACCTGAATTTTTAAAAATTACCTTTCAAGCCGGTTAAGTGCCATGGAAAACACTAAAAAAAACCCGGTAAAAGGTCGGGAGATGGAAGAATAGGAGTCTGTTCCAAAATGTGACTCCACAAAGCAGTTCAGGAAAGCAAAACATGAATGCCTCCAAAATTTAAGGCAAGTAGGTTGGGATAACAAGAATAAAAGTTATTTTGCCCACATGTCTTGTCTGTGTAGGTTGCTCGTATCACAAGAGAATTAACCTCAGCCTACAGTGACTGCAAATTCTTCCTTATTCTCCTGTTCTGATAAAGCTACAAAGACTGCCACTTCCCAGCCATGAAGCTCGTGATACAATGCGTGTCGCTTAAAGAGAAAAAGCAGGAGCGGGAGAAAAATGAGTTCCCCGCGTGCTTCAGGCCTGCTTAACAAGCCTCACTGGCCTCGAGCCAGGTCCTTAGCGTCCCTTGCAGTTAAACGGCGGGAGCCTCAGGACTTCAGGTGGCAACACGCATCCAGGCCCCAGGCTGACTCCCGCTGGCCTTCCCAGACTCCCAGACTTCCCTGCTCCTCCGCGGCCCATCTCCTCTTAAACCCATTTCTGGCTGCAATTACTGCCAGCGGGAGGAGGCAAGGGAAAACCACGCACCCCCACTCCGAGGGCGAGCCAGACACGACGTGCGGATAACCCGTAAGGGGTGCGGGGTCACAAGGGTCGTGGGATCGGCGTGGCTCACGGTACCCAGTGGCACGGGGACCCCAGAAGCGCCTGCTGCGCCTTCAGCCGCCAGCATACAAGCCATGCGCCACCCCCACGGAGCTCCCCGCAACAGAGCCGCGCCTCTCCCTCCACGGAGTCAGGTGGATGAGCACTTCGCTGCTGGGGGGGGATTCAGCGTCTCGGGATGCGCTCTCCTTCAGGGCTGCTCGCTCAGCCTGGCCTGACCGCGCTGCCGGTTTCCGCGTTATTTCCAAAAAGTACTCCTTTCCGAAATGGGGTGCCCTTGCTCACACGCTTCCCCTTCGACACTATTGTGGGCTTTCGCCTGCTCCCCCCACCTCCCGTGACCGCCCTGGCCTGATGATGCCTCTGCTTTCTCCCACTGAGCTGAACTCATCCTTGAACTTTGGGGAAACGCCCTGGAAAGAATTCGGAGCAACATCCGCAGCAGTCGCTGCAGGGGCTCATGCAGCGGGTTTGCGCTGCCTGTCGAAAGGGCTCCCATGATGCATCTGCAGCCCCCACCTCCCCCTTCACTGACTTTTCTTGCTGGGCCATTTTCTGCGCTGCCTAAAATAAACTAAAATTAAGAACCGGATTGCAGCCTGGTTCTCCTGTTAAAAGCTACGGGCTCTGAAATATCAGCCTATGCATTTTACCTTTGCTCCGCACAAATTTTAAAGCTTTACAACAGATTCGGAGATGGTGGGTTGCTGCGCCAGACTCCACGAGCCGTCCTGAACCAAATGCGTGAAGGAAACAGCAACTCAGAAAGGCCCGGCAGATAACGAAGGGTGAAGAAACCAACTCCGCAAAACGTTTACACAAATGCAAGCGCATCTCTCAAGCCAGCCAGGATCGAGGCCCACTCACTGCAGGACGAGCACAGACTGCCTGGCATCTACCAACAGCCCAACGCATTTGAGTTGCTGAAATCTAGACAGGTAAGGCAATCTTTCAGGAATGCCACTGAGCAGCTGCAGGTGCCCTCCTCTGTGGGGTTAAACTGGAAAGGGATTTACAACTGAGAGCTGTAGGCCTCGTTTTGCCTAAACCTGCACGCGATGTGCCCTAAATTGCTTTGGGTACCTGACAGCTCCTCTTTTCCGCTGTGGCGCTCTGCAATTCCCCAGTCCCCAGCACAAGCAGAAACAAAACGACACTACTGTCTAAACCCCACATCTCTCAGCGCCTGAATCCATAATTAAAACTGGGATAACTTGAACTGCAAAACGCAAATACACAGAACCTGACGGAGAAGACCACTCATCCAGTACGAGCCTCTCCCAAGCCGAAAATGAAGGTGTCAGGAAGGTGTCAGGGTGGCCCTCTGGGGCGCCTGCCCACCGGCCGATGTATTAGACAGACTGAGGATCTGGTTTTTAGCTTCACTGGCAGAGGCAGGAATGGCAATAAATCACGCTTCAGCATTTGCTCTCGTGTGATTTGTTTTCAAACCCCGCCACAGGCCGCCGTTCAAATGCCTTGCCAGCGTCCACACCGAACGGCACAGCGGTACGCACTTTGCGGCCACATGTGCAACAGCTGTAAAGCGAGGCGCGCTGGGCGACTGCAGGCGAACGGACAGAAGCACTTCAACCGTGCTTGCGCCCGGTGGCACATCTGCCCCCTCTCGTTCTCACGGCAGGCTGCCTCACCACCACACGCCCAACGAGTGCCACCAGTCAGGCACCAGGTAAATGAAACACCACCCTCGGGGCACAGCTACCTGCCAAACACGTACCGGCTTAATACCAGTTTAACTGCAACAGCAAACCTCTTTCGCAGAGAAGGACTGGGGAATGCCGGCTTCTCCATATTCTCCACTAGCCACGCACACGGATACCAACCCGCTGTATCCATCTCAGCATTCCAGTCCTATTTCCACAGCGTTCCCAAGTCCCTGTTAGTCGGCAAACTTCAGGTCATAAAAGCTAGCAAAGCGTACCTCAGGGCTATTAAAGGCTATCACAACTTTAGCTGGTACAAAGCTGAATCCGGACAAGCTGCAAAAATTAAGAGAGGACAATGACCAGCAGCACCGTCTTAATTCACGTAACCACACGCCCTGTGCTGGTGACTGGGGAGGCTTGAGGAGAGAACCACGGGAGGCAGATGCTTGGCACTACTTGCCCCGTATAACTTTCAGTATTAGCTGGGAACCAGCGGGGAAGGATTATTTCATTGTCTAGGTTTCAAAAACATTTCCGTGAACGCCGGGAGTTCACATAAAGGAAGAGAAGCCTTTTCCTTGGCAGAGCATGCCACACAGTGGATGCCACCCACAGAAAGGCCTCACTCCGTGCTTGGGGTACACAACAGCACACACTTGCGTGAGCACAAGAAAGCAGCAGGGCAGCCCAAACAGTTGAAACGACATGTCCAACGGGGCAGCCAAATTAGGGAGTTCTATCCGGTCATGCGGAAGGTTCTTTCTCATACTCTCTCCAAAGTACCCAGCTAAGCAGGGATCCAGCTGCTGGGACAGAAATCTTAATTGGAAGCCTGTTGAGAGAAAGATGCTGTCGCAGCGCCCATTCAAAAATACCTCGAGTTGGACCCTAGTTGGCCAACAGCCGGCTTCCGTTTGGCACCTGCTTTGCAGAACTCTCCAATAAATGGCTGGCGGCTTAGCAGGCTTCTGCTGAAAGAGAAATTCAGTTTGTGTGAACTTGCATGGCAGAACTGGGTTTCCAAGTAAGCCATCAAGAAGAAAAGCTACCTCACTTCCCACTTGCTTAAAAAGCGCAACACAAAACCGATCTACCTGCAAAGTATTCGTCACAGTGGATCCAGCAGACGTGGAAACCTGTTCGACGGCCTGAAGACGCAAGGGGAGAGCAATAAATAGGGATTACCTGTGGGTTCAGAAGGGCAAAAGACGCCTCCTGTAAATGTTTAACATAAATAGTGCACTAGTTTATAAGGTCTGTTATAATTAGATGAGTCCCTATAATCAGTGAGGTTTGTGGCCTGGATGTTGAAATTAAGCACTGCCTCAGCAATTAAGCCAACTCAGCTCTACCCATCAGTAACCATTAACTGGACTTCTCGGCTTAACCTCACATCCTTTAATAATCCTTCAGGAATTCTGAAACTACGCAGCGGAGCAAGGGAAAAACCAGTGATATCTACTCACCGAAAAGGAAAAACCAAAACAAAACATTGCAGAGCTAGACCTATCATAAGACACAAAAGAAGGGCTGAGCGAAGACAAACATGCTGCTACAGGGTAAGAATATGAGCCGCGCAAACCTCAAACGCGGCACCGGCGGCTCTATTAAGGCAGCGCAAAATAAATAAGGGAGAGGGATCACCCCTTAACAAAGAGGAGGGGGAGCGGGGAGGTTTGGGGTTGGTACAAGAGGAGAACGACAGGCAAGCAGGAGCCCTTTTTGGGGGAGCTTGCACGGCATTGTACGTCCCTCCTCTTTCCCCCCGGGGCCACCTCTGATGGGGCAGCATTCAGACCCAACATAGGAGCCTTCCAAGCGTCTTACTAGGCTGCTCAAGGCCCCAGACGAGGGGCTTACACAGCTCTGCCGCTTGGGCTTCTGAAAGCGCAGGAGGTCGCCGGCCACGGAGCTGTAGGCCCAGACACCTCTCCCCCGGGCCGCTCAGTGGAGACTCTTCCCTCCTCTTCTTGCCCACTGGAAATATCCCGAAGGCCCCAACAGAAATCCTTTGCTTTCGTTGCCCAAAGGCACCTCCGTGAGCTGAGCGTGCTGAAGTTCCTTGCACTCAGGAAAAGGAAGCCAGCGCTCTTATCAAATCTCATATTGTCGGGTGGGAGCGTGGAAACATCCTTCCCAAGGGGGCTGCAGCTGGCGATCTGCAGTTCACGAAACCGGAGGGGGCTCAGAGGAGCTCGGCAGAACAGCTCCTGCACGCGGGGCCATCTCCCAGCATTGCGTCTTCCCTTCTCCGGAGCTGTTCCCGGCAAAAACAAGTAGTCGCTATAGGAATGCCTCGACACAGGCATGCCTGAGCCAATGAACTCCGTTGAAAAGACAGCAAACAACTAAAAAAAAAAAAAAAATAGACTGGTGGCATTTTCAGTCACAGAAGCATATTCCACTCTCAGCTTGAGGGAATGTTTGAATCTTCAGATTAAGGCAATCCTTTTCGGAGTCATTTCTAAGCTCTTGATGAAAACATTCACATGGAGTAGGAAGGAATTGTCCTCGCAAAGTTTTAATATAATGCCTCTCCAGCGAGCAGAAGGATGGCAAAACAACTTAAAGTATCTGAGATAGACACCCCGACATTGCTCCAAAGCAGCTTACAGAAAAGCTATTTTGCATGAACTAAATAAGACCAAGCAAAACAAAAACGCCCGTACTTTGCAACAAGCGTAGCCCTGAGAAGATGTACAAGTCTGTGGGTTCAGCAAGCAGCTTCATTCAAAGGGAGCACTTCTTCGAGTCTTCAAATTCCTCCCTCAAAGCCCACTGCTTCACGAATCGCACATGACCCTAAGCCCAGGCTGGTCAGCCGCTCCCCTCTGCTCCCGACTGCCCTTGCGGGTCCTTTCCTGCCTCTCCTGTCAAAATGTAGACTCCCCCAGAAAAGGATCTGCATTTCCTCCCACAATGAGGTTTTGTAAAAACACACATTTCCAGCTTTCAGGGAGCTAATCTGCAGGCTTTCTATTCTTCACTAATGTAAACGGCCCTGGGGATTTCCACGGAAGGAGGTATACAAATATTTTAGAGAAAAAGAATGCAGCATGGATACAACTACTCTGTGATATATTCCCTGAAAGCACAGAACTGACAATAGGCAATGCCATTAACACACCTTGATTTTGGTAGATTACGATCTGCAATTTCAGAGACAGGGCAGAGAACCTTTGCCAGGTTATGGAAGACACAAATGCCCCTGAAGCTACCTACAGTCTTTGTGTCTCGGCACACAACCAGCAGTGTAGCAAGAAAATGCACACACCCCTGCCCAACCCCCACCCCCCAGGCAGAACCAAGCAGACACAGCCAAGGCGGGCAGATCGCTTGGCGGCATCTGGAGGTGCCCTCGGCCCAGGGTGGGAGGCAACGGAGGGGCTGTGTGGGTCTCACACACGGACCCAGTGCAGGCTTGCGATGCCCGGAGAAAGGCACGCCCACGGGGGCGCTGTGAAGGAGCGGGGCGAAGCCTACTGGCCGAAGGGCCGCTCTTCCTAATGCCACGAGATACTCCCCGCCCCACCGCCGTTCGGTTCTAAGGTTTGCAGACTCTCACGGCGGCTGTCCACACATCTCCGGCCAGGCACCGGTGGCGCTCCGTGGGGCAACTCCCTAGTCCTTGCAACGAGAACACGTTCGTCGATTTACTGCTCTCAAAGTCCATACATGGGACACAGTCACATGCTCGAGTACTATTTAACCACAAATACAAGGGCTCAGCAATATGAAAAGCATCAAAATTCCCACGGACAACCTCGCTTCCCACTCCGACTCCAGCAGCAGCCACACTTCACATCCTCGGCTGACTTTCCTGAGCTGCAAGCCAGCGTTAACGTGAAAGCGGTGGATCCAGCGGTTCGGGCTGCCTTGCTCATCGGTGGAAACCTTGTGTTCGCCAAGACTGCCTCTTCCAAATTAAGGCGCAAACCTCTGACCTTGTGCTGCGCCTCTGAAATCGGGGCTGAAGCCAGGGCCAAGCAAAAGGGCGAAAAAGAATGTCTCCAGAACCATGCATGCAATTTAGAAAATGTACAGAAATCCGTTCAAAGAGTTTTCAGAAGCTATGAAGAACGAGATGCGCATCTAGAGGAAGGGTTGTCCCCCAGGAATGCACTGACTGAAGGAGACGATGCATTATTCATACCGAAATCATGCAACTCACTGGAGCTGCTCAAAGCTGCAAAGCAAAGGCACCTGCTTCTGACGCTGCCAGCGAGGGGGAGGCTGTGCGGGCGAGGCAGGGGCCCGTTTCTAGGGGCTGGCTCAAACATTACCTTGCGGTCCAGCCGTTGGAAGCATCAGAGCCAAGTAGAATTTGAAATTTGCTAATTTCAAATAATGTGCAGAAGTGACTGAAGTATTTTCTTGGGGCCCCTCGGCAACAAGAGGCGGTTCCCTATCACTTTATCTCACAAGGCCCTTCTTAAACAACAAGATGCTACAGATCCTGATCTGTCTGTCAGCTGCAACTTACCTGCATCGCATCCCCTAAGCACAGAATTATTACTCATGGGGGATGCAGCAAGCTCTACACAGAAAGTGTGGGGGAGATTCAGAAGAGAGGGCTATGAACCCACGGAGCTTCCTGCATTTAGAGGTCACCACACCTGGAAGAAAGTACAGTTACAACAAAACTCACTCCGGCAGGATGCGTGTGGCCCGGGAACTATCCTTGCCCGTTTCTTTAAGAAGGGCACCAGACAACCAAGGCCCCCTGAGCCACGGTGACTTGCTCCTTCTTACCAGGCTCAGAGCTAAGGCACTCCTGAGACGCGGCTGCCAGAGAAGCGGAGCAGGGAGGGTGACGGCGCGCCATGCCTGGAGCTGGCCGACCTGGCCCGATCCGGCAGAGCCCCCCTCCTGGCCTGCCCTTCCTCTCTTGTCTCCGGTGTGTCGCATTTAAACAACGAGCCCCGTGGGAAGGGCCGCATCTCTGCTCTTACTCTGCAAAGCACCACGCACAGGGACGGTGCTGTGGTCGCGACGGCAAACCAGCTGGAGGAGGAGGAGGAGGAGGAGAGGAGAGCAAGAGCGCAATCAATACTGTCCCAGTGAACTCCCTGCGGCACATGCCCGGCCGGCCTTGCTTCCTAACCACGGTGTACTGCAAAACGACTGCTCTCTCGCCACTATTCCAAGCGCCCGTTTCCCTCTGATCCTTCTGGAGTATTTCATGGGCTGCAAAGCAGGGCTTTGTTCTGCAGACAGTGGCTCCATTATTTCGCAATTAAGCACTACGCCGAAAACACGCACATCCCCACTTGAGCAGGCCCGGCAGCCAGAGCCAGGGCTTGCCTCTGTTCGCTCACAGCACTATGCATGATTTTGCACACGCCCTGGGATACCAGCAGCTTAAAAACAGTTTTTATCTGGGTAGAGCTGGGCTGGGGCTGGGAAGAGCTCAGCTCCATCGCCACTCAGCCATGAAGCTCTCAAACCCTCAGCACAGCCTTCCTCACAGGATTGTTGCAGGGAGGATAAAATGAAACGGGAAAACCCAGTAGAACGGCTTGAGTTTGCAAGAAATTATTACTACTACAATCTTAACAGTCATTCAACCACGGAAAACTACATTTCACAACCGCCTGCGCAAAAAAGACATCATTTTTCTGCATGGCATAGGTGTTTTCTAACCCCAACGTAACTCAACTATCTTTTTCATGTTATCTTGCTTAACAAGATGGTTAAATACTGGAACCTAAAAATCCCAGATTTTTAACATCTAAACTGGATAGAACTTAAATCTGAGCTTAAAAATGTAAATAAACATTTTATCTAATATTAAGTTAAAATATGTTTGCCCTGCAGCTAGGTTCTCAGTATAAGCAGTGACTCTCCTTGACTGAATTAAAGGAGGTTTTTCTACGTGTACAAGGAACCAGTTTGATCATTTCTCAGGTATTACCATCTTCACTCTACCTGGCAAATATAGGCCTTCCATTTTCAACTGATGCATGCAAACTGCTCCAGTCCGCATCCAAATGTATAAGCGGGGACAAGCAGACGTGAGGCCTGGTTCTCCGCACAGAACAGCTGTTGAAATTATCGCTGTAAATTGACGTGCTTCCTGCAGCCCCTTAGCTGGGAGGAAGCCCCGCTCCACTCAGTGAGGATTAATTTTAATAGGGCCGTGTTTGTTTAGGGCCAAGGGAGAGCAGGAGGCAACAGCAGACGGATATCTGAAACGCAACCAACTTCCATGAAGGTCTAAATACTGAACTGTGAGCCTTATTCTCCAAAAAGCTATCTTCAGACTGTGTGTATTTGTTTTACTATAAAAGGCTGAAAGAGCATTTGAGGGGACCTCTGCCTCCAACGTTACATGTGGTTAACATTTACAATTACAATGTACTAAAGACACACCGTGCTTTCTCCACAAACACACAATTATGTGTTGAGCAACAATGGGAGCCCCGGGACTCTCTCAGCCCCCACGGCAGCGCCAGCTTGCCACGTACACATAACCAGTAGCCCCTGCACGGTTTCCTGCTAGTCCAGGATTACAGCTTTGTTGATCTCGTGGAACAAGAGAGCCCTAATTAAGGCAAACGAGGTAGGCCTTTGAATAGCATTCCAGAATGGAAACTGGACTACCAGACTGGTAGTTCTGACAATAAGGGGTTGTGGATTGACCCCGAAGGAAGGAGCGTGGCGCTGGGAAA